TTCGAGATCTAGCAGGATCATCTGAGGATTCCTTGAGTCAGCTGCCCTTGTTCGGGCAATCGCAGCCGGCATGCTCTTTGAGGCAAAACCAGCAAAGGTGATATCCCTTGGCGCACCGTTGTCCGGGCTTTTTCTTGGCCCAACACTTGCCGCGGCTGAATAGGAAGCAAAGAGGCTTGCCATCCGCAGTCTTCGTGTGAGCACCGTCTGGGACGGAGATGTTCGCCGATGAGTCCGAAGGGGCCGTCGTCTTGCCTTTGTCCTTCCCCTTCCCTTTGCCTTTCCCCTTTCCGTTGTTGGGGGTGTAAGGTTCCCACCGAGGAACTGAAGGAACTCGAATCTCGGGCTGAGGGACGAGGTAGGAGAGGACATCGCTTGAGGAGCTGAGGCGCGCGATGATGGGATCACAAGTCGGCGTGCTGCCCGGCCGGGATACAATCTTCCCTCGAACTTCTTCTGCAAGGAGGACCCAAAGGCGCTTATCGGCATCAAGAATTTGTTGAAGGCTGACTTGCTTCATGCTCTTCGGGACCTCGCGCTCGCGGACGGTGTAGAGGTACGTGTGCCAAGTCTCAGCAACCTGGAAGCTCACCAAGCCAGCAAGGTCCATGGCAAGAGCCTTTCTCTGAAGGGCCATGCGAAGCTTCCACTCGCCCGCCGTGGAGCATTCGAGGTCGTCCCCCTTTGTTGCTACCCGGAGTTGGCCGTCTGATCCCAGGGCGAAGGTCTTGGCCTGCTTGATTTGCAAAGACTCCTGGGCGCGGCTGGTGCAAAGCTCAGGTCGAATGTAAGTCACTGTCTGCTCTTCCACCATGGTCACGAAGCGATCCACTAACTGATGCGAAGGCTCTGTCTCCGGGGACCAAGTCAATCCTGATAGACGGGCTCGCTGGGACTCGGACCGAGCGACTCGCTCCGACGTAGGGAGCTTCTTGAGAACTGTTTCGGCCCCATGCTCCTGCCTGAGCCGTAGATCACGAATGGCTAGCCCATGAGATTCCCAGAACAAGCGGCGGAGGCACGAAAGCTGCCCCGCATCCGGTGCTCCACTCAGGACAGTGGTGAGGAGATCGATCAAAGGGGTCTCATCGCCATTTCCGGGCTGATACGGAACACTGAAAGCATACTGCCCAAACGTTGTGAAGCCAGCACTTATCAAGGCATCCACGCTGGTGGCCGAAACCCCGAGCTGCAAAGCTCGCCGCTTGAACTCAACAGCTGAGTCCAACTCGGAGGTGGCCATGGCTCAGCTATGTGGTCGCTGTAAGCCGCCGCTGCCCATAGTTTGGCTCAATGGATGACACATGCCAGGCCAAGCGCACTGAAGGCGTGCAGGGCGTGTCACACACAGCATAGGAGACGACACGATGCTGAAGCTTTGGTTTCGCAGACAGCGAGGCTCCAGAAACGATGAGGGATAGTCGGTTTCGTCATAGACGAGCACCCTCCGCTGTATTTGCCAGGGAACTCGGTCCCCTCCGATGGCACAGCTCCCACAACACGAAAGAGGGGGCACGGTTTCACCACGATGTGAAACCCCCTCCGCTGTATTTGCCGGGGAACTCGGTCCCCTCCGATGGCACAGCTCCCGCATCTCGAAGGAGGGGGCACGGTTTCACAACGATGTGAAACCCCCTCCGCTGTATTTGCCAGGGAACTCGGTCCCCTCCGATGGCACAGCTCCTGCAGCCCGAAGGAGGGGGCACGGTTTCACCACGGTGTGAAACCCCCTCCGCTGTATTTGCCAGGGAATTAGGTCCCCTTCCGATGGCACGATCCCAGCGAATCCAATTGCCTGGGAACGACACGATGCCGGGCAGTGTTTCATCAAAGATTGATGGGCCCGGACACGTCAAGAGTACGAGCAGCACCGTGAGCAAGCCCGCGCCGGTCAGATCAAAATGTGCACAACATTTTCGAACTAGGCTCCTGACCGAATCTCAGTCCTTCGAGAAAACTACGCTACAGTGCTTGCAGGCCTGCACGTCTCCCTCTTGCGAAGTCACACCCTCCAAGCAGGAGTAATGACGATTGAGGGGGCGGCCACACAAAAGCTTCTGCAGGTCAAAACTTGCGTGCATGATCCCAGAGATATTGTGGACATACAAGTGCCGTCGAGGAACCGAAGCCAACGATTCAGGGACCGCGATCTCCTTCACGCGGTCACTCGGCTCAAAAGCTGTCGAGGGATCAATGTCGTTCAAGTCCGGCTCGGATCCAGACTCAGAAGGTACGTACTCACCTAAGTCGGGGTCCTCCTCTTCGCCTGAAGTCTCACCTAGAAGCTCCATGACACGGCGAGCCCTCCCGCGATCAGGAGAAAAGGAGCCATCGAGGATCTTGTCCAACAAGCGGCGAGTCTGGACGGCGAGCGGAGTGTAGCTGTCTCTGCTGTAGATGAGCACAGACCTGGACTCCCTATCGAAATGGTGGCCCATCAGCTTTTGGTCACGCTCGCTCCACCCTCCATGTTTGCTTATCCATGAGAGAAGGGTGGCCTTCAAACCATGAGATGTGATGCCCTCGACTTCGCTGGGCGACGATTCCGCCTTGCACAAGAGGTCGCGAAGCCACAAAGTAGCCTCGGTGGAAGACATAGGCGCCTTGCCGAATTCGCCAGTCCTCTCGCAGTAAGTGGGCAAAGCAGGGCCCGTCGAGTCGAGGCCGAAGAGACGGCGCGAAGCTAACCAAGCATCCGCCCACGGCTTATGGTAGAGGCCCCTCCCTAAACATATCAGGGGGAGCAAAATCGACCTGTCACGTGCAGCATGCGAAGTCTTGTGTTTTGAAGTTGCAGTTTCTACCAAGTAGATGCGACCAGCACTCGAAAGAGAGATATCAGCCAGATGGAGAGAATCATCCCACCTAGCACACGAGTAGAGGGCGAAAAGGACCTGGCCCCCTATCAACGAATCCAAGCTGGGGGCAGACTCAACCACGTGCTTCTCGAGGGCCCACACCTGGTCAGCCGTGAGGACCTCGGATTGTTTGGTGGGCCTCTTCCGAGCCATCTCCCCACGAGCCAGACCTTCGCACCGCGATGAAAACTCGATCTCCTTCGGTAGACCCTTGATCTTAACAACCCCATGAATGAATCTGATGGCAGAGAGCACCGACGAGGCGGCCGTGGCTCCCCGTTTCTGCTCCCTAAGAAGGCTCAGGTACTCATAAAGAATCTCCTCCTGGAAATCCAAAGGAGGAACCCCTTTGTCGTTGAGGAAGCAGCAGCAGCTCCACAAAGAAGAAACTCGCTTTAAAAGAGTGCCGGTGCTCTTCGAAACAAATGCATCGCGGAAGCTGCGGGCCACCACTTCCTCGTCCTGAAGGGCCCCGGCCGCGTTGACCAAGGCACAACCCAATTCTGATGAAGAAGGGTCCTGAAGGACAATGGTACGAAGCTTTCTCAGCTGCAAGGCACGGACCTCAGACTCATCACGATGTAGATTGCTAAGACGAAGCCTCTTCCTGACGAAGTCCGGATACGAGTGCTTAGGCATGGAAGTCGGGGCCATCACAGCCGGCTGAGCAGAAGGAACAAAAAGATCTCCGACTCCCACAGAGTGATGCTTGAGTGTTGGCTTCAAATGAGACGGCAGAGCAGCCCAAATGCCCTGCTCCCACGGAAACTTCGGAGCAGACTCGGAGATGCTCCTGCTTATGGCCGATGCCAAGAAATTCTCATAAGACATTCTCTGACCATGACCCATCTGCAATTCCGATCGCACCCCCGATGACGATGAAGGCTGGGAATGAGTCATCGGAGCAGATATAGAGGTAACGGCCGCAGCCGGCTCAGAAGACGGATTAGCCCATGAGTCATCAGATTCCTCAGCTAAGCCGAACGAACCTGCCGCATCATCCCAAGGAGCTTCTGCCGAATCACCCCCCTCCATCTCAGAAGCTTCGAATGGCATCTGATGGTTCATTGGCTAAGGTTGAGCGCAGAAGAAGCAAGCTCGAAGACGCCAGCTGACACGCAGAAAGTAAAAACGATCAGCTGGAGACATGTGGATCCAGACTAGCCGTACAACATCGTAATGTTCGGCACAGCAAAGAAAGCGACTGGAAGCAGTACTGCCTTCCATGGCTGGACCCACCAAGAAAAAGTTCGCAATACGATTGCCCGAGCTTGATGCGAAAACGGTGCGCGGGCACTCTCTTCAAAGCATGTACAAGTTTACAAGTGAAATCATGTCGACATGAAGGAACGGACGTTGTTCCATAAAAAAAGTACAAAAGTCATCATGTAAATTCCATGACGATTTCATACAAAAGATTCAGAACTGTTGTTGTTGGTTTGGAATGTCAGCAACCAAAGCTTGGACAAATGGAAAACCGCTCGTTACCTCGCTGCCCCACCCAAAGAAAGGTATATCAACTTCGTTGACGCTGACCGTCTTGGTATTCGCAGTTTTGCTTGCAGGCGTGAGAAAATTTTTGTCCCACCCGCCCGCCCTTCTGGTGTGGGGGAATGGCATCAGTTGCCTTTTGCTTGCTGGAAATTTTTCACTTGCAGGAGTATGCCGGAAACCTCGTGCAGGACACCTTTAGCTTTTGCCATCTTTGTACATCGGCCACGAATGTGGAGCCAAAACCATCAGTCTGCACCCCTCGCTCTAAAAAGAAGGCGATTTCGCGGAGCGACTAAGTTGTCTTTTCTGTTTTCATAGCTGCCGGTCCAGCAGCGCAATGATTAATTATTTATCGTTTTGTTTCATGTTCTGAGATGTGAGATTTGACTCACAACTTTTATTTGAAACCAATTTGCATTTAACACAACTTCACTCAAACAACACGTGTATTTCGATTGCACATGTGATTGAAGTTGAACCATGCGTGCATACCCGCGCCGCTTCCAAACAGCATGGCTCATCGCACACGTGCAACACGACACTTGGTCTGCTCATGAGCCACGCACTTGGGCATGCACTGTGCAGAGCTTTGCTAAGAATTTTCACTGCCCTTAGGGCTCCGTGCAAGCCCCCTGTGGATGGGGGCGGATGGACCCGGCTGCTGAGCCGGCTGCTGAGCCGGATTCCGAGGCCGACAGCACGGTTTCGACCGTGAGTGCCATCAGTCGGCACGTTTCGGACTTGCAGCGGGATCACTGGGCTTTGCTAGAGCAGTTCCGTGCCGCACAGCAGGACATACAGGTGCTTTCGGATCGCTGCGAGTATCTTGAGGGCCGGATCCGCGTCTTAGAGTCCTTTGAGAATCGCATCCGAGCATTGGAGTCTGCCCGTGATTATACTAATCACCGTGTCGTGTGGCTTGAACGCATTGTGCAAAGAGTTCGTGCATTTGCTGCTCAACTTGCATAACTTGACTCTGGCCACAAATCTGTGTGGGCCATGAAACGTCACTCTGACAGCCTAACAGACTTGGTCGCGCACTCACAGCTGTGCGATTACAGGGCCAAACGCATTCAGATGCCTTGGGATCAGGGGGTTTTTGGTCTAGTCTTTGGGTCCCCTAGGCCTCCCGCACCCTTGGTTCCCCTTCCAAGCCCACCGCCTCAGCTTGCTGCCGGTGTCAGTTCGGCGATACAGCAGGCTCCGCAGGATGCTCTGCCTTCGGCCACTCAGGCCTTTGCTCGGCAGCGGGCTCGTTTTGCTGCACTGATCCGGTCAGATGATTCTGTGCGCTTTGAGGCGTTACGTAAGATTAAGACCCTGACTTTACTTGATCCTGCGGCATCGGAGCTGGGGCGGCTTCTCATCAGCGAGGCCGCTATCTTGTCTGACCCTGAGAGACTTCAGAAGTCCTTTGCCGACACGTTCGCTACAAAGAGCACTGCAACATTGGCCAAACGAGCTTCCTCTTTCTGGAAGTTTGCCGAGTTTTGCTTGATGTTCGATTTTGGCTCGCCCTTTCGAGCGAGCGAGGCGGCTGTCTATGCATATATCCAGGACTTGCAGGCCCACGGAGCTCCCACATCGGCCAAGGCCTTTCTTGAAAGCTGGAATTTTCTGTCAGCGCTGCTGGGTTTCGCAAAACTTGCAGGCCAATCTCCTTTGTCAGGCCGTGTGCGAGGAGCTGCTGCAGCGTTGGCGGCCACCAAGAAGCCGCTGGTCCAGGCCTCACCATTGTCAGTTCCAATGATTCGGGCTCTGGAAAGAATCGTGGTGAAACCCCCGTATCCTCATTGGCGTGTGATTGCCGGGCACATCCTTTTTTGTGTGGGAAGCTGTTCTCGCTTTTCGGATACAATCCACCTCAAATCTCTAGAGCTTCAGAGTGCGGGAACTGTACATCTTTTGGAAGCATCCTCTGCATCTTACAAGACTGGTACTGGCGAACGGAAGACCATACTTCTGCCGCTTGGGATCTTTCGTGTACCCCACGATTTGGGCGCCGCTGTGGATGGAAGCCCGAGCTGATGCTGGCCTCGGCCTCAATCCGTCACTGCCTGCATTCAGCGAAGCCTCGCAGTCTTGGTTGGAGCGTCGCATGTCTACTGGAGAGCTTACCATGTACTTGCGTGAGTTCCTCGTAGCCAGTCACATCGACATTCCTTCGGAGTCCCGCATCAGCAGCCACAGCATGAAGGCCACCTTTCTCAGCTGGCTAGCCAAATTCGGAGGAGTTTCTTTGGAGGACCGCCGCATTGCAGGGCACCATTTGGACCCTGATTCCCGGTCCCCTCTGACCTACAGCCGTGACGAGCTGTGCCGCTTGATGAAGATTTTCGAGGACATCCTGAAAGCCATCCGTTCCGGCCATTTTAAGCCTGATGACAGTCGCGTGATGCGTTTAGCTGTCATGGTTCAGGCTGAGTCAGGCCCTCAGCTGCAGGAGAAACTCCTCGAGCAGGACCCATATGTCTCCGACTCCGAAGCTGGTGCTTCCGACATCAGCCCCGAGGATCTGGAGGCCCGAGCCGGTGGAGTCCCCCTGGACGATGGCTTGAACGCTGCTCAGATTCCTTCTGTCTACAGCAAGATGCACATTTACAGTCGTACAGTGCATATACAGGCTGCTGAAGGTGCCAAATTTTTGTGTGGCCGACCCATCACCCGCAATTTTGACGAGCTGGACAAGGCCGTACCGGCCTCTGATCTGCTTGTTTGTAAGCGGTGCAGCCAAATCCACCGAGCCAGTTAAATAGCTGGCGCACGTATTGCTCTTCTCGCAAAAGAAAGCCTCTTCAGCACGAGCAGCCGAAAGACCCGGGTAATCGGAGAAATTTCTCTCCCAGCCTGCAGTGGTCTCGAGGGTGGTGCCAAGCCGGGTCTGTGAGCAACTACATCTGCGCTGGCGGTACTCGGGGCACCTTAACCCCAAGCCGTTGGACGCCATGGAACATTGTGCGTCTTGCAAGCTGTTTTCCGCATCCCCGGTATCCGGCACCATCCCTGGCAATCTTTCATGCTGTGTGGTACACTGCGTAAGCTGCGAGCGTCTGGAGTCCTTTACAGCTCTTGTCCACATGTGCAGTTTTGTTCAAGCCGGCTGCCGTGTGAACCATGTCCAGCCTCGACAGCAAGGCGGCCTTTAAGGCCAGAGCAGTCGAGCTCAACTTTCCCGAGGAGACCCTGAAAAAGCTCGCGGCCATCAATGTGGACACGTTCGGAGCTCTAGCCTTTATCGGGCCTCTTCAAGCTGGCACGACCGATGAGGGCCCACTCATCAGCATGCTGAAACGTGCTTTGGGTTCAGAGCCTGACGACGCGCTTATGAGCATCGCTCGCCGCCTGTGGTTCGAAAGCACCACTCAGGCTCTTGCTGAAATGCGTGGCAAGGTCGAGCGCACCGATGCTTCTGAACCAGTTCGGATGCCTTTGGCCGAGCGCACACAACGCCTTGCTGCTCTTCAGAAGCGACTTGTGGGTATTCACTGGACCTCCGACATTGAGCCTTCCCATAAGCTACAAGACTTGGTTGCTCAGATGGTGTCTGATCAGTCCTTGCTTTGGATTCCGTGGGATCGCCTCACGAGCCGAGCTTTGGAAATTACGTCTGACAAAACCGATCAGGCGGTCAGCTTCGACAGTGCCGGGAACCTCAAGCTCGTGAAACGGTCAGCTGAACCTTCTTGCAGTACCATCGGAGAATATGCCGTCAAGCTGGCACTTCAGAGGAGGAGTTTGGCTTTCGAACTAGCCCGAGTCTGCCGCTACGAGTACCTCGAGTCCTGGCATGACCAGCTGCTGCAAGTGCATATGCGCTCCCAACCTTCAGGCCATCAAAGAGTTTCGATTGCTCAGCTTCGTGAAGCCGACAAGTTTCTGTGGACGAGGATCGCCGAGGATACGCGTGGCTCACTGTCCATGCGCTCAGATGGCTCGTACCCCTTCGAGGCCTCGCTTGCAAAGTGGAAGGATCACACGCAAGTTCAGTGCTACCTACTTCCGCTGATGCGATCACCGCCTCCACCTCCGACTCCACACACTCCCAACATCCCGCCCAACAAGGACGGGAAAGGAGGCGGAAAGGACAAAAATCAGAAAGGGCTCAAGATTCGCAAGGACACTCCCGGAGCGGAGAAACCCAGTGACTCAGGAGCCAAGAAGTGGAGCGTCCCGCAGGGTTGCCACTCGCAAGATTCGACCGGCAAGCCCCTTTGTTTCAGCTTTAACACAAAAGGCTGCGGGTTTGCCAAACCCGGCAAGCGCTGTCGCCGCGGCCGCCATCTGTGCTGGAGGTGCCTGGAACCGCATCCGGCTTCCGAGTGCCCGGAGTTTCAGTGACCAGATTCTGCAGCTGCCGGCGTGATGACTCCTTCATTCAGGGATGACGAGACCGGTGGCAAGCGTCTTGCGGCCGAGGAGTTTGCGAGGCTTTGGGGTTTGAGGTTTTAGCGGTTGATTCCCCTTGGAACCGTCATGCACCTGAACACCCTCTTCTTGTGCTGGACCTTACGGAAACCATGTGCCAAAAGCAGCTCCTGGACAGGCTACTGCTGCACCCCCCATTCGCCATTCACATTGCCTTGCCCTGTGGTACGGGTAGCCGAGCCCGAGAAAGGCCCATAAGCAAGAAGGCGAGATTGGCAGGTGCCCCGGAGCCTGTCCCGCTGAGGGACAACGATCACATTTTGGGCTTACCGAACCTGTCGGACACCGACAAGGCCCGGGTTCGCAAGGCCAATGAGCTGTGTCGCTTCGTTGTCGAGCTGATTCGTGCCTTACCTTCTTCCACTTTTGTGAGCATCGAGAATCCCAATAATTCCTGGATTTGGGGAGTGCTAGCTTTCTTCGTGCAAGAATCTCGAGACCCTGCCCTACTCGAGAAATGGCGTCGCATGATCGATGTGCGCTTTCATAATTGCATGAAGGGAGGTCGACGACCCAAGCACAGTCGCTTTCGTTGCAGTGATTCTCGCTTGTCTAGCATGGCTGTGGAGTGCGACAATCAACATAGGCACGATCCCTACCTGGTCTATCAGACCGGCCGACAGTGGAGATTCAGTACCGCTGAAGAGGCGGAATATCCGCCTCAACTTTGCCAGGAGGTGTCGCAACTGCTGGCCGCGACAGCGGGTTTGCCATCCTGCTTAGAACCGCCGGCAGGTCCACGCGCTGTCTGGCCCCAACCACGTGGGAGCCACAAGCTAATCCCTGAGTTCCTCGAGTTTCGCACCGAGGCTCCCCTAGATAGGCCCTTTAAGGAGTTTACCTCGGGTTTAGGGGGTGGTTCCGGGAGGTTCGGGGTGTACAGAACGCCTACCGAGTTCATCGATTGTGCCCTAAAGCTCAGCCATCCCTTTGATACCCAGCACTGCGTCCCAGATGCCGTCAAAAGGAACATCTTCAGACGGCTGACCGAAGGACCATCTGCTTTTGCTGAAGAGAGGCTCAGACTTTACAACAGGCTCAACCAGATGGAGAAAGAACTTCGCTACGAGGAGGCGCGACTGCATTCAACCCTGCCTGACCACACTCGCGAAGTCATCAAGGGAAAGAACCTTCTGCTATGGGCACAATTGCTGAAGGAGACCAAATTTCCTGATGAAGGAGTCTTCGACTTGATGATGGGCGTCGATTTGGTGGGCAAGCCAGACAAATCACCCTTGTTTGAAACCAAGGATTCGCCGGCTACATCCACACCTGAGCTTCTCCTTGAATCAGCTCGCTGGCGCAGAGAGAGGCTCAAGGGCCGTGATCCGCACGAGAAAGATCCGGAGGCGACCTGGCAACTCTGGGATTGCACTCTAAAGGACCGGGACGACGGCTTTCTCACAGGGCCGTTCTACGATGAGGACGAAGTGAAAAAGCACCTTGGAGTAGAGGAGTTCGTCTGTTCGAGAAGGTTCGTCATCGAGCAGGGCACGCCGGAGAGGCCCAAACTTCGACCGATCGACAATTACAAGGAGGGCGGGGTCAACGAAGCTTACCATAGCCTCGAGAAACTCGCCTTGTTTGATGTCAACTGGATGACGGCGATGGCGACTTACATCGCGCGGGTCTCGGATGGAACTGGCGATTTGGAGATTGTTCTCAGCACGGGAGAAATTCTACACGGAGAGCTGCACTCTTCTTGGAAAGCTAAGAAGCCCGTCTGGCAGGGGCGAACGCTGGATCTGGAAAAGGCGTATCGTCAAGTTCCACTTTCAACGGAGTCGCTACGACTGGGGGTAGTCATGGTCACGGACCCTAACAGCGGCAAGCCTTGCTACTTCGTGGCCCAGAGTTTACCCTTCGGTGCATCATCGTCTGTGTTTGCTTTCAACAGGCTGTCAAGATCGATCTTGCATCTGAGCTGGAACTTGATTGGCATGATCTCAGGATGCTTCTACGACGACTTCCCGCTTCTTGAAATCCAATCTTCTGCGAAGCTTGTCTCTGAATCATTCGAACACCTGCTACGGAAGATCGGGTGGAGGTATTCCAACGACCCGGCCAAAACCTCGCCTTTCAATGAGAGCTTCGATCTACTTGGAATACGTCTCAATGCAGGTGACATCTCCAATGGCGTCGTGGTGCTCCAAAACAAGGCATCAAGGCTGGAGAAGATGAAAGATACTTTCATCCGCATGGCGTTGAAGGGTGAATGGGATCTGCGACAGATTCAGTCACTGCAAGGGCAAGTGAACTTCGCTTTGGGCTTTGCCTCGGGAAGAGCATTTAAGATGCTGCAGCGTGCACTTGGAAGCTTCATCAGGAATCCTGAAGATCGCAGCGCGAGTGACTTCCAGACACTTTGCGAGTTCGGGATCCGCTTGATTGACGAGTGCAAACTTCGCCTGCCGAGGGCCGGAACAACCGGTGTTGATCTTCACTGATGCAGCTTACGAAAAAGGTGTCGCCACCTTCGGCGTGGTGGTCCTGGATCCCTTCACTTCTTCTAAGCTAGTGGCCGGAGGTCGCATACCGAAGACTCTGGTGGAATTCTGGAAGCTTGACAGCCCCGAACAGGTGATTGCTCAGGCTGAAGCTTTCGCCGTGGTCCTCGCGAGAGAAGCTTTCAGAAATTTCATCCATGGCAGGCGAACCATTTACTTCATCGACAACGAGGGAGCGAGAGAAGTCTTGATCAAAGGGGCGAGCAAGTCACGCACGCTCCTGCTTTTGGGAGCACGCTTCTTCGAGATGGAAAACCTGGATCAAAGCTTGACGTGGTTAGAGAGGGTTCCATCTGCTAGCAATGTGGCAGATGGTCCGAGTCGTGGTGAGATTGCCGAGACGGCGAAAGTCATTGGTGGCACGATCGTTGATCTACAGGAGAAGGTAGAAGAACTCGGTGAGTTGTGCAAATCAACTGTACAGATACCTTGGAAGCTGCTCAAGTAAGACCGGTCACTTTTAAAGGGGGTTATGCGTGTTGGGGCAGAATCGGTATCATGCACAAATGAGCGATTGCGAATCCTACCGCATATTTGCTCGTGCCTCAACCGAAACCCGAAACAGTGGCACAAACCACATCTTACGTTTCTGACTCGCCCTACCGTGTGAGACCCCCGACTGGAAAAAAGACCGAGTCCGAGCGCGAGCATTCTGTGAAGAATTTTACAAATACATAATTTGCGATTCTCAAATATCGATTGATTGAATTCGCATATTTGTATGGCATGCGATTCTCAAATATCGATTGATTCAACTCTCACTTTATCGATAAATCAAATCATTGTGAAAACAGAAAGACGGCGATTTCGCGGAGCGACTAAGTTGTCTTTTCTGTTTTCATAGCTGCCGGTCCAGCAGCGCAATGATTAATTATTTATCGTTTTGTTTCATGTTCTGAGATGTGAGATTTGACTCACAACTTTTATTTGAAACCAATTTGCATTTAACACAACTTCACTCAAACAACACGTGTATTTCGATTGCACATGTGATTGAAGTTGAACCATGCGTGCATACCCGCGCCGCTTCCAAACAGCATGGCTCATCGCACACGTGCAACACGACACTTGGTCTGCTCATGAGCCACGCACTTGGGCATGCACTGTGCAGAGCTTTGCTAAGAATTTTCACCCACCCTCCCGCCCTTGAGGGTTTTCACCCTATTTCTCGGTGGGGGGGTTATGCGTGTTGGGGCAGAATCGGTATCATGCACAAATGAGCGATTGCGAATCCTACCGCATATTTGCTCGTGCCTCAACCGAAACCCGAAACAGTGGCACAAACCACATCTTACGTTTCTGACTCGCCCTACCGTGTGAGACCCCCGACTGGAAAAAAGACCGAGTCCGAGCGCGAGCATTCTGTGAAGAATTTTATAAATACATAATTTGCGATTCTCAAATATCGATTGATTGAATTCGCATATTTGTATGGCATGCGATTCTCAAATATCGATTGATTCAACTCTCACTTTATCGATAAATCAAATCATTGTGAAAACAGAAAGACATGCAGCGTGCGATGATTCAGTCTGTGAGTTCAGTCAGTGTACATGTTCTTCCTGCTGTGTAGTGCGCTTGGCTTGAAAACATAACCAAATAAAGCAACCAGCCGTGCCAACAAGCTTGCCGTATCGCATTCTTGGACATGTGTAGGGCTTGGTCTGCATGTGGATGGTACCCGTCACAGGAAGCGTGGTACAGTCGAGTGACGACACAGGCTACTTGGGTGATCTCAGCAAGAAGGATCCTGTCGGTTGACGGAGGAAATCTTGCACCATCTGCCTAGTAACAAGTGACACGACGCTTGAGCATATCCCCACACCCCCTTTTTAACATTGAAGATGATGGATACGGAGGTGGTGCAAGATTTTTGTTACTGGAACCCACGGCACTTCCGACGATCACCGGTCAATGTTAAAAAGGGGGCGTGGGGTGTCTGCTTGGCTTGGCCACTTAAACTGGTGCAAGATTTCCTCCATCAACAGTACCTTAAACTGTTGTCACAGTAAGCAATATGCAAGTGATGACAAGCCACAATATCGATCCCTCACCATCTCACCATGTGTGTCGGTGTGTCACTGTGTGTCAAGGACCGAGGTACTTGTAAGACAGATTTTAGGAAACGCAGGTTTTCCTTGCATTTCGGCAGAGTAATAAGTGTTAACTGCATAGTGTGCCTTTTCTACAGTTAACACTCAGTTAACACTCAGTTAACACTACAGTTAACACTACAGTTAACACTGCCGAAATGCCGCAAAAACCAGCATTTTGCAGAATACACGCGTTTTGAAAAGAAAAACTGCTAGTTCTAGTGTCTTTTATACACATTTGACGAAAATGCTGGTTTTCCCAGCATTTCGGCAGTGTTAACTGTAGTGTTAACTGTAGTGTTAACTGAGTGTTAACTGAGTGTTAACTGAGCGTTAACTGTGGGAAATGTAAGGAATTTACACTAAGCCAGAATACACGAGGAGCTCGCCAGTGGGAGTCCCACCGGAGTGCCGCGGAGCTGCATGGAGCAGACTTGGATCGAGGTGGAGCACCCGGGTCAGGGTGCAAAAAAAGTCGCATCCTGGAAGCCTGCTACCACAGTCGGCTTGCGTGGTCTTGGGTCGTACCTATAGCAACCAGCCGTGCCAACAAGCTTGCCGTATCGCATTCTTGGACATGTATAGGGCTTGGTCTGCATGTGGATGGTACCCGTCACAGGAAGCGTGGTACAGTCGAGTGACGACACAGGCTACTTGGGTGATCTCAGCAAGAAGGATCCTGTCGGTACCTTAAACTGTTGTCACAGTAAGCAATATGCAAGTGATGACAAGCCACAATATCGATCCCTCACCATCTCACCATGTGTGTCGGTGTGTCACTGTGTGTCAAGGACCGAGGTACTTGTAAGACAGATTTTAGGAAACGCAGGTTTTCCTTGCATTTCGGCAGAGTAATAAGTGTTAACTGCATAGTGTGCCTTTTCTACAGTTAGAGTAATAAGTGTTAACTGCATAGTGTGCCTTTTCTACAGTTAACACTCAGTTAACACTCAGTTAACACTACAGTTAACACTACAGTTAACACTGCCGAAATGCCGCAAAAACCAGCATTTTGCAGAATACACGCGTTTTGAAAAGAAAAACTGCTAGTTCTAGTGTCTTTTATACACATTTGACGAAAATGCTGGTTTTCCCAGCATTTCGGCAGTGTTAACTGTAGTGTTAACTGTAGTGTTAACTGAGTGTTAACTGAGTGTTAACTGAGCGTTAACTGTGGGAAATGTAAGGAATTTACACTAAGCCAGAATACACGAGGAGCTCGCCAGTGGGAGTCCCACCGGAGTGCCGCGGAGCTGCATGGAGCAGACTTGGATCGAGGTGGAGCACCCGGGTCAGGGTGCAAAAAAAGTCGCATCCTGGAAGCCTGCTACCACAGTCGGCTTGCGTGGTCTTGGGTCGTACCTATAGCAACCAGCCGTGCCAACAAGCTTGCCGTATCGCATTCTTGGACATGTATAGGGCTTGGTCTGCATGTGGATGGTACCCGTCACAGGAAGCGTGGTACAGTCGAGTGACGACACAGGCTACTTGGGTGATCTCAGCAAGAAGGATCCTGTCGGTACCTTAAACTGTTGTCACAGTAAGCAATATGCAAGTGATGACAAGCCACAATATCGATCCCTCACCATCTCACCATGTGTGTCGGTGTGTCACTGTGTGTCAAGGACCGAGGTACTTGTAAGACAGATTTTAGGAAACGCAGGTTTTCCTTGCATTTCGGCAGAGTAATAAGTGTTAACTGCATAGTGTGCCTTTTCTACAGTTAGAGTAATAAGTGTTAACTGCATAGTGTGCCTTTTCTACAGTTAACACTCAGTTAACACTCAGTTAACACTACAGTTAACACTACAGTTAACACTGCCGAAATGCCGCAAAAACCAGCATTTTGCAGAATACACGCGTTTTGAAAAGAAAAACTGCTAGTTCTAGTGTCTTTTATACACATTTGACGAAAATGCTGGTTTTCCCAGCATTTCGGCAGTGTTAACTGTAGTGTTAACTGTAGTGTTAACTGAGTGTTAACTGAGTGTTAACTGAGCGTTAACTGTGGGAAATGTAAGGAATTTACACTAAGCCAGAATACACGAGGAGCTCGCCAGTGGGAGTCCCACCGGAGTGCCGCGGAGCTGCATGGAGCAGACTTGGATCGAGGTGGAGCACCCGGGTCAGGGTGCAAAAAAAGTCGCATCCTGGAAGCCTGCTACCACAGTCGGCTTGCGTGGTCTTGGGTCGTACCTATAGCAACCAGCCGTGCCAACAAGCTTGCCGTATCCCATTCTTGGACATGTATAGGGCTTGGTCTGCATGTGGATGGTACCCGTCACAGGAAGCGTGGTACAGTCGAGTGACGACACAGGCTACTTGGGTGATCTCAGCAAGAAGGATCCTGTCGGGTGATGGAGGAAATCTTGCACCATCTGCCAAGTAACAGGTGACACGACAGTTGAGCATTACCCCGCACCCCCTTTTTAACATTGAAGATGATGGATACGAGGTGTTGCAAGATTTTTTGTTACTGGAACCCCCGCCCTTCCGACGATCACCGTCCAATGTTTAAAAAGGGGCCGTGGGGTTTCTGCTTGGCTTTGGCCCTTAAAACTGGTCAAGATGTTCCTCCATCAACAGTACTTAACTGTCTGTGTCACAGTAAGCAATATGCAAGTGATGAAAAGCCACAATATCGATCCCTCACCATCTCACCATGTGTGTCGGTGTGTCACTGTGTGTCAAGGACCGAGGTACTTGTAAGACAGATTTTAGGAAACGCAGGTTTTCCTTGCATTTCGGCAGAGTAATAAGTGTTAACTGCATAGTGTGCCTTTTCTACAGTTAACACTCAGTTAACACTCAGTTAACACTACAGTTAACACTACAGTTAACACTACCGAAATGCCGCAAAAACCAGCATTTTGCAGAATACACGCATCTTAAAAGGAAAAACTGCTAGTTTTAGTGTCTTTTATACACATTTGAAGAAAATGCTGGTTTTCCCAGCATTTCGGCAGTGTTAACTGTAGTGTTAACTGTAGTGTAACTGAGTGTTAACTGACTGTTAACTGAGCGTTCACTTAGCGTTAACTGTGGGAAATGTAAGGAATTTACATTAAGCCGCGAAGCTGCATGGAGCAGACTTGGATCGAAGTGGAGCACCCGGGTCAGAGTGCAAAAATAGTCGCATCCTGGAAGCCTGCAACCACAGTCGGATTGTGTGGTCTTGGGCCGTACCTATAGCAAGCAGCCGTGCCAACAAGCTTGCCGTATCGCATGCTTGGACATGTATCGGGCTTGGTCTGCATGTGGATGGTACCCGTCACAGGAAGCGTGGTACAGTCGAGTGAAGATCCTGTCGGTACCTTAAACTGTTGTCACAGTGAGCAATATGCAAGTGATGACA